GGGTTAACGCACCACCAGCATTAACCTCTCCCACCTATTTAAGGTTACAGGATAGGTAACGTAATGATAAACTATTTGAAGCACAGGGGGATGGCATCTGTAGAAATTAGTTCCTTACTGCCGTTAAACCTCTCATAACTTCATATATTTCCCACCATTTCTATGTGTATCTCCTCTCCCATTTTTATCTACCTTGACATCGTGGTGGTTCTAATAAGAAGGATCATACAGAGCACTGTTGAGAGCTCCGCTGAACTGCTCCATGTGGTTGCTGCCTCAGCGTCTGTCTGGGGAGCAGGCAGCCTGCAGGTCCTTGAACTCACACCAGCCAGTCCTGTGAGCACCTGCACTAGATGACCCCATCCTTGGCACCAGCAGTCTTGCTGAACCCCAGGGTCTACTGCACAGGCCCCCCTTCAGTGATAAACTCAGATCTCACCAGAATACTGCTCGTCTTTGTTTGAATGGACCCCTCCACACTCAGCCTGTGGGACCAACAACACTTCACCCAGGGTCAGGTCTGAACCCCAAGGACTGGAATTTTCTCTGCCTGGTTCTAGCCTTGACCTTCTTCTGGAGACCTCAAGGCTTGCTGTGAATTCTCTGAGGACCTAGAGTCATAAACTCACGTGCTGCAATTGTCCTTTGTTCTGTTGGCTAAAACTTTTCAGGGGTTCATTTAAGCAAATGTAAGTTTAACAAAGTCACAAAAACAATAATCAAAAGCCATGATGGGAAAATTCTGAACCAAGATTTATAAAATCTTACCCTGTGTAATTCTTAGCACATGTGTCTTGTAAGGCTTAAAGGAACTGTTTTCTCATGGCTTTGGCATACTTTGCATGCAATATATAAATACCTGAAGATATATGCATAATATGATTTACATAACACACATTGAATACAAGATATAAATATCTGAAGACATACATGTTAGCAGTGAGAAAACCAAGAAGGAATATGTGAATGTATGTGTATACTTACACATTTAACATATAGAATTTAGAAATGCTAGATCAAAACTGGTAATTTTAGAATTGCAGATGATTTACTAAAAACTATAAAACATGTCAATTTGTTGATTAATCTGTTTTGTCTATTTTTCATTGAATTCATTTCCTTAAATATCAGGAGGTTATGTTTTTTAAGGAGCTTCCACACGGCCCTCCCACCTGACTGCACCAGCTTACCTTCCCTCCAGCCACGTAGGAGTTTCCCTGATTTCCAAGCCCCTTCAGCGTTTATGATACTCTTACTGAGCTTTTTGCTCATTCTTATTCTGAGTGGCATGCGGTGATACATCCCTGTAGCTTTGTTCTGCATTTCTCATTGTTTAGCGGTGGTGAGCATCTTTCTTTTGCCTCCTGCCCATCAAAAAGAGCAAGTTGCCCGCCCAGCCTCAGCAGCTGTGGGGCACAGGCTTCGTCTCCCCAGAGCATGTGGAGTATTCCTGGACCAGGGATGAAGCCCTTGTCCCCTGCAGTGTCAGATGGATTCTCCACCACCGGGTGACCAGTCTGTTTAGCTTTTTTCCTTTTGAGACATATATATATGTCTACTTTTTGTAGCATTTTCAAATGGGCTTCTTTCACTTAGTAATGAAGGAGGAAACAGACAGAGCTGGACTCCCATCTTTTCCAGGCTTTGAGCATCAGGCTACACGCATGGTCACCCTCCCAATGGACTCTGAGCTTTGCGCCCCGGTGTCTGTAGAAGTGGCATACCAATGGATAATCAGATACCACCCCCCCCCCCCCATAAAAGAGCCTCAGGACTTCTACTTGGACTCTGTTGTCTAAAAGAATATGTTAATTATCTCTGTAACTGAACAAAGTGGTCAATTCCATTTTGTTTATTGGAAAATATATATATATATATATAATATTATCGCTTTACAATGTTGTGCTAGTTTGTGCTGTATGACATCGTCAATCAGCCGTAAGTATACATAAATCTTCTCCCTCTTGGCCCTCCCTCCCGTGGTCTCCGTTTCACCCCTCTGCTCAGAAGAGAGCACCAAGCTGCGCTCCCTGTGGTAAACAGCAGCTTCCCACCAGCACCTATTTTCACCATCAGTTCAGTTCAGGTGCTCAGTCGTGTCTGACTCTTTGCGACCCCATGGAGTGCAGCACGCCAGGTCTCCCTGTCCATCACCAACTCCTGGAGCTTGCTCAAACTCATGTCCATTGAGTCAGTGATGCCATCCAACCACCTCATCCTCTTTCATCCCCTTCTCCCCCTTTCAATCTTTCCCAGCGTCAGAGTCAGTTCTTCACATCAGATGGCCAAAGTATTGAAGTTTCAGCTTCAACATCAGTCCTTCCAATGAATATCAGGACTGATTTCCTTTAGGATGGACTGGTTGGATCTCCTTCAGTCCAAGGGACTCTCAGGAGTCTTCTCCAACATTTTAGCCATGGTGGTGTATATAGGTCAATGGTACCCTTTCAATTGGTCCGCCTCTTCTTCTCCTGCTGTGTCCACGTCGGATCTCTATATTTGAGTAAATATTGTCTTAAGAGATATGTATGGAATTTAAAAAATGGTATTGATGAACTTATTTACTGAGCAGGAATATAGGCGCACAGGTAGTTCTTAAGCTTTTGCATGTTAAGCTTTCAAGGCATAAAATACATTGACAATCATTCCATGCATTTTATGGTTGTAGCCACGCGTTCTGGGAAACAAACTGACTCAGAAGGACAATGCAGATAGTGGAGTGCACTTTATTACATGGGCGGGGCCAAGGCAGAGTCTCCTCTTAGCCAAAGACTCCGGACAGTTTGTGTGAAAACTTTATATTCCCTAAGGATACTTGCTCAAACCCACCTCCCCAAATTCCTTAAAACTAGTCTGGACAAGGTAAAAGAGAGATACAATCAAAGTTATCCCATGATTCACGTGTCACAGGACTAAATAAACAGAGGATATTTATCAATACACCTGTGGTCATATCCCAATAAACAAAATGGAATTGACCACTTTGTTCAGTTACAGAGATAATTAACATATTCTTTTAGACAACAGAGTCCAAGTAGAAGTCCTGAGGCTCTTATATGGGGGGGGTGGTATCTGATTATCCATTGGTATGCCACTTCTACAGACACCGGGGCGCAAAGCTCAGAGTCCATTGGGAGGGTGACCATGCGTGTAGCCTGATGCTCAAAGCCTGGAAAAGACGGGAGTCCAGCTCTGTCTGTTTCCTCCTTCATTACTAAGTGAAAGAAGCCCATTTGAAAATGCTACAAAAAGTAGGATTTTCACAATATGACTTTTTGGTGTAGGTAAATGTTCATATATGCTCAGTCGTGTCAGAGTATTTGTGTTCCCAGGGGCTGCAGCCTGCCAGGCTCACCTCTGTCCAGAGATTTCCCAGGAAAGGATACTGGAGTGGGTTGCCATCTCTTCCTCCAGGGGATCTTCCTGACCCAAGGATCGAACCCGCATCACCTGGATGTCCTGCATCGGCAGGCAGATTCCTTACCACTCAGTCACCTGGGAATCTAGTAAGAAATATAGAAGAGATTTAAAAGGTCCATGATTACCATGGGTTTCAAACAAGGGACTATGAATATCCTAAGCCTAGAGAACTATCAGGACCATGAAATAATTTGTGTTAAACTGTCATGATGGACACATGTTATTAAATATTTATCTAAAGGTATGGAGTGCACATTCCTAAAAGAGGAACACTGGGGTAAACGAGAGTGTTCATCTATTTACTGCCCGTGTAGATTCATCAGTGGTAACAAATGCTCACTCTGGTGGGGAAAGCTAAGAAGGAAGACTATCCACATGTGGGAACAAGAGGTATATGGGAAATGTCTATACTTTATTCTCAATTCTGCTGTGAAACGAAATCTTCTACAACATTGGTACTGGTGAATGCAGACTGAATATTTTTTAGAATATATAATATGCGAAAGATCAATATGCTTCTATCTTCAATTTTTCCTTGGTCATTATACTTTAAAGATGTGGGGAAATAGAGCTCTCTGAATGGAGCAGACAACGAACTGTGGCAGCTGATTCATAAAACCTAGAAAAACACACACAGGAAGTAGAGTAACAACATTCTCATGTGTTAACTCACGTGTGATGCAACTTACGACAACACCGGTCATTACTTCCTTGGTTGGTCATCAGAGAGCATTTAGGGCATCGTTTTCAGAGGCATTTGGCTCCGCCCATACACACTGTGAACCTAGCGTGTCCTGCTCAGTTCAGTTCAGTTCAGTTGCTCAGTCGCCCTGGACTGCAGCTCGCCAGGCCTCCTGCTGCCCCTGGTTTCTTTTCCAAGAAAGCGGGGATGGAAATGCCTCCAGGCTCCTGGTCTCCGAAGTTGGAGGTGCCACGACTGCAGAGAGGTGGCCACAAAGCAAATCATTTTGTGAAAACCTGTGTCCTAAGGCTACATAGGGGGGTGGGAAAAACTAAGGATAGCGGAGATCTTTGGGAAGAATTCTGCAAGTAAAGCCTGGCAGGAACCCAAGACCCTCAGGTGATTCCCACCACTAACTCACCTCTCCCCTCCAAGCCCACAAGGGTACAGGCAGGCTGTGGACCACCACACCCACCATAGAAAGAGCCCCTCCCCAGGGAATCAGGTTGACCTTCTTTGTTTCTAGAAGTTCCCTCCCTAAACCCTCCCTTCCTGAGGTCTCAGGTGTGAGGTTTCCTCTCAGGGCTCTGAATGCAGGTTTTCCTCTGGCATTTTTTTCACAACCCTCATAGGCTGGGTCAGGTAGCCCAGAAGCAGGGTCCATTGTCTCTCGTGAACTGTTCTCTATAACTCAAAAAGGAAGGAGAGGAACTAGCCCAGACGATCTGCAAATAGTATAGAGCACCAGGATGTGTTTAGCATTATCAGGTTAGTCTTGATTCCCCACTATAGATTGGCAACACAGAAAGTCGAAAAGGAGCTCAGAAAAGTGGGAGGGAAACAGGAAAACCTTTTCTTCTCTTTCCCTGCAGCAGTTGCATGTTGAAGAGCTGCATGGATGCCTTTGAAGGTATTTTCTCAAGATGCAGATGTGAGTTTGCGACGTAACATCCCCGGAGAAGACGCAGAGCAGGAGGAAGAAGAGGAGGAAATGGCAGCTTCTCAGGTATGTGTCTTGTCCCGGGTCTGGGGCTGTGTCTGCTTTTCTTCCTGAAATGCCTGGACTGAGAACCTGCAAAACTTTATTTCTCTGCTTCTAACTTTTCTGCCTGGGTGTTTCTTATCAACTTCTTTATTTTTTCCCTTTCTTCTTATCACAGTGAAGCCTGGCTCTTTAGACCACTTCTCCCTTGTGTCCCAGCATCTTGTCTCCCTTATCTGTATCCTGGCTTTCTACGGAGCATGCTGAATTCTCAGCATGAATTAGCGACTTTCAACTGGTGAATATATTCCCTTTGTGAGAGAGAAACACGGAGAGGCACTGGTATCCGAGATTCCCATTGGGATGTGGTTAGCTGTTGGGATCTTAGGGAACTAGGGGAAATGCCATGATGAGTTTACATGTGGATGCAATTTCACTCTTTAGGAGTTAGAAAATGCCCTTCTATATTGAATAAACTCAGTGATCTAGAATTTTTCAGAAAATGCTCAGAAATAAAAAGAAAACAAGGAGATACTGTCCTCTGTAATGCTAGGACTTACTAGTTAAACACATTGGTAGGTAGTTAGAAGCGGGAAAAAGAGTCCAAAATGGTGGTGGCTAAAAGACCTGGAAGGGAAAGCCCGCGAAAAGAGAACAAAGGAAGGTCCGAGGACTGGAATGAGAACCTCAGGTGAAACAAACAACGCCGCTGCCTAGGCCCGATTAACATAAGACAGACCTGGGGGCAGAGAAACAGATCAAAAGAGGAGCCTAAGCCCTCTTCCTTCTTCTCTCTCTCTTTCTCCTGCACGATGGGGGATCTTCTCTTCGTGTCTTGGGATCGACATGTCCTCACAACTCGAAGATGGATTTTCCAGCTATTATCTAAATAAATAGAGCTGTAACACTGATTTATTTAAGAGCTATAACACAGTCTGTACTCCGAGAGCCGTGACCTTCCAAGGGGCTTTAATGTCCGTCAATCCAAATTTTTGTTGTGACGAGACAAAGAACCGAGGAACATACACTCGAGTGAAAACATTGCTAGGATACAAAACAGAGGAAGTAGATATGAAATGAATTTTGCATAAAACTGATATTTTTTATGTTAGGTTCAAGTTATAAGTTCCTTATTTATTCCAAAATGCCCAGGTTCTGATAATACATCTTCCTCGTGATCCATTTACACAATCACAGATGATGTCCACTGGCTCTGGGGATTTCTCTGAGATTATAAGTCTACAAAGTTCATTTTTTTTCCACTGTCTTTAGACAAGGCTGTGGAAAAATGGAATGAGGAACATGTGAAAACCCTCACAGTTAATGGAGAAACTCCACATGTTCTTGGTTTCTCTTTGCTTTGGAAAATGAACACTCACTGTGTTGATGATAGATATTGGGCTTTGGGAGTGGGAGTTTTCATCACTCAAGCGCAAGTGTGATGTTTCCAGTACACTCCACTCTCATATCACCGACAAAGTCTTCTTAAAGTTTCAGAACCAAGAGCTCTAATTTATCTTATACCTTGTACATGTTTGCACCCTAGTGTATTTAAAATATACAAAGAATATCATCCACAAGTAGATGTATATATTTTAACCCATTAAAAATAATCTCGATTTTATTGACATGAATATGAATGACTGAACTGAACTGAATATGAACTGATTTTATTGACATGAATATCAATTTTACTGACATGAGTATGAATGAACTCAGCTGAACTGAACTGAACTGAGCATGAATCAGTTCATTTCAGTCGCTCATTCGTGTTGACTCTTTGCAACCCCATGAACTGCAGCACTCCAGGTCTCCCAATCCATCACCAACTCCTCGAGTTTACCTAAACTCATGTCCATTGAGTCAGTGATGCCATCTAACCATCTCATCCTCTGTCGTCCCCTTCTCCTCCTGCCTTCAATCTTTCCCACCATCAGGATCTTTTCAAATGAGTCAGTTTTTCGCATCAGATGGCCAAAATATTGGAGTTTCAGCTTGAACATCAGTCTTTCCAATGAACATCCAGACTGATTTCTTTTATGATGGGTTGATTGCATCTCCTTGCAGTCCAAGGGACTCTCAAGAGCCTTCTCCAACACCACAGTTCAAAAGCATCAATTTTTCTGTGCTCAGCTTTCTTTATAGTCCAACTCTCATATCCATACATGACTACTGGAACACCCATAGCCTTGACTAGATGGACCTTTGTGGACAGAGAAATGTTTATGCTTTTTAATGTGCTGACTAGGTTGGTCATAACTTTCCTTCCAAGGAGTAAGCGTCTTTTAATTTCGTGGCTGCAGTCAGCATCTTCAGTGATTTTGGAGCCTCCAAAAATAAAATTAGCCACTGTTTCCACTCTTTCCCCATCTATTTGCCATGAAGTGATGGGACCAGATGCTGTGATCTTAGTTTTGTGAATGTTAGCTTTTCCTTAATACTCTTAGTAAGTATACAGTTTCATTGTAATATATGTCTGTAAGCATGAAAATGTTAAAAAAATTTTTTTCTTGTTTTGGTATTCTCCCCAGTTATATAAATTTCTTTTTAAAAAATACACATATTTATGTTTGGCTGAGTTGTGTCTTGGTTGTAGCCTGTAGAATCTTGGAGGCATGTAGGAGACTTTGTGGCAGCAGGCACACTTTAGCTGTGGCATGTGGGATCTAGTTCTCTAACAAGGGACTGAACCCAGCCCCCTGACTTGGGAGCTCGGACTACCAGGGAAGGCACTATAAATACTCCTATACACTTTCTTTAGTGTTGTCTCTGTATATTTGTGTTTTACCAGTTAAATTTTAGTTCACATAAACTGAAGCAAATTCAAGATTTGTGATTTAATGAATGTTTGTCAAAATATTTGCAAAACGGTGGAACAACAATGTTGTTGATTTTATATTATTTATGTGATGCATTCAAGACCGTGTAAAAACTTTTAGAAAGACATATAGTATATACTAAATAGTTCAATTGCTGCTATGGGTACTATTGTATCAGACCTGTTAATTTTGTAAAACACTTAAAATTCAAAGTTAAACATAAATTCTTACCTTAGTGGTGTACCTCTTTGCTATCCAGAACGGTCATTCATGTATCAAAATTTTCAACGTTACTAGTTAAAATAAGCTTGTTAAAAATGCGGCACATTGGCCCCACTCCAGAACTCTTAGATCAGAGCATCATGCTTTTTAAAAATATTTCCTGTGTCCTTGATAGGGGGCGTCCCTGGTGGCTCAGATGGTGAAGAATCTCCCTGAAATGTGGGATACCTGGGTCTGATCCCTTGGTGGGGAAGACTCCCCTAGAGAAGGAAATGGCAACTCACTCCAGTATTCTTGCCTGAAAAATCCCATGGACAGAGAAGCCTGGTATGCTACGGTCCATCGGGTCGGAAAGAATCAGACATGACTGAGTGACTAACATGCTTTCCTTGATAGACACTTTATCCTGTGTCACACGAGTACAACTCTCAAAAATAGATGTCAGTGTTGATGCGATTGTTTTATAATTTCTCTTCCAGATCAGAATAGTTTCTATAGTGGTCTGTAGATCATATCTCATTCTCTTTTCCTGGGATTAGAAATACTGTGAAAATAGAGCAGTATAAAAATTATATTCTTGTGTAACACCAGACATTCTCCTAAATCAAAACCATTTCTCTTGCTGCTTTCATCTTGGGTCACATTAGGAAGTCTTCCCAGGTCAACGTGGCACATGTCCTTTATATTTCAGGGGCTGTTGACATTCCGGGATGTGACCATAGATTTCACTCAAGAGGAGTGGGAATGCCTGGACCTCGGTCAGCGGGAATTGTACAGGGACGTGATGTTAGAGAACTACAGGAATCTGGCCTGCTTGGGTGAGGATAGCTTCCTTCCAGAATCCGTTATGTATCCTCAGAGTTTTGGTTCATTCATTGTAGAATGTCTCCTGGAATTTTCTGCTTTGACCAGTAGAGGTTAAGATCCCTACTTTCCAGGGGAAAGTAACCTTCTTTCTTGATGTAACCTGCCTCCTTGCTGTTCAGTCGCTAAGTCATGTCCAACTCTTTGCGATCCCGTGGAATGCAGCAAGCCAGGTTTCCTTAGCCTTATTTAACTCCCAGAGTTTGCTCAAATTCATATCCACTGAGTCAATAATGCTATTCAACCGTCTCATCTTCTGCCACTCCCTTCTCTTGCCCTCAATCTTTCCCAGCATCAGGGTCTTTTCCAATGAATTGGCTCTTCAGAATCAGGTGGCCGAAGTATCGGAGCTCAGCATCAGTCCTTCCAATGAATATTCAGGGTTGATTTCTTTAGGATTGACTGGTGTGATCTCCTTGCTGACCAAGGGACTCTCAAGAGTCTTCTCCAGCACCACAGTTCGAAGGCATCAATTCTTTGGTGCTCAGCCTTCTTTATATTCCAAATATCATATCCATACATGACTACTGAAAAAAACCATAGCTTTGATCATTTTTGGCAAAGTGATGTCTCTGCTTTTTAATATGCTGTCTTTTCATAGCTTTTCTTCCAAAGGGCAAGCATCTGCAGTAATTTTGGAGTCTACCCCCCCCTCCCAAAATAAAATCTTTCATTGTTTCTACTTTTCCCCTATCTATTTGCCATGAAGTGATGAGACTGGATGCCATGATCTTAGTTTCCTGAATGTTGAGTTTTAAGCTAGCTTTTTCAGTCTCCTCTTCCACCCCCATCAAGAGCCTTTTTAGTTCCTCTTCAATTTCTGCCATTAGAGTGATATCATCTGTATATCTGAGGTTGTTGATATCTCTCCTGGTAATCTTGATTCCAGGTTGTGATTCATCCAGCCCAGCATTTTGCATGATGTAGTCTGCATAGAAACTAAATCAGCAGGGTGGCAATGTACAGCCTTGAATGTACTCCTTTCCCAATCTGCAACCAGTCAACTGTTCCATGTATGATTCTAACTGTTGCTTCTTGACCTGCATATTCTTCATTCTAGGTTCGTGGTAATTCTGTAGGTTCTATGGTATCAAATGGTACCACTCTCCTCTTAAAACCAGAATTCCACTACCTGCTTTTGCCTTAGTAGTACTTGAGCATAATATCAGAATCTGATTTTGATGCATTTGTCTTTTAAAAATGCTTCCAATAAACTATTTGGTGAAATCATTTTTTTTTAATGCTATTTTAACTTTCTACCTTGACTTCTCTCTCACCTGAATAAATATTGGATTGGAAATTGATGAATATCTCAGAAAACACATATTCCTTTTTCTGATGAACAGGTCTTTTGGCCTCTAAGCCAGACCTGGTCATGTTTCTGGAGCAAATGAAGGATCCCTGGGTTGTAAGGAGAATGGAGACAGCCATATACCCAGGTATGTGTCTATGGATGAAGCACTTAACTCGGGTGAGAGGGGCAAGCATTGTGGAGGAGGTCATACTTTGTCGTGTGGTTTGAGAAGATCTGCTTCAGTGGAGATGATTTTGGATTAGCCTAGGTTTATTTCTGTCACTCTCATAGAGCATCATCTCCTGACCCATTCCTGATCCTTTTTATCATTTCTGTATTTTTTCTCCAGTGATTAATTTTCACATTCACAATTAGAACCAAAATATTTGTCTTGGCCTGGAACAACCTGCATGACATGATACCTCGTCCATTTTGGGGAGGTTTTAGAAAATCTGTGCATATTTCTGAGTAACTATATAAAGCCCTTTTAAAAGTGCTGATTCTGTCCCTGGTCAGAAGTGCGTGGGTGGAGCTGTGAAAAAATTACCAAACTTCTAGGAATACTGGGGATGGATGTTTTTTGTTTTCTACCATATAATTTCCAGTCCACTGAAAACTACACATACAACCTCAGAAACTTCATACTCAAATTCTTTCTTCACTGCATTGTTATAGCCATGCTTTCTGGGAAACAAACTCACTCAGAAGGACAATGCAGATAGTGGAGTGCAGTTTATTATACCGGCAGTCCCAAGGCAGAGTCTCCTCTTAGCCAAGGGCCCCAACCAGCATTTATGAAATTCTTTTATACCCCATGTGTACGTGTCCAAACCCACCACCCCAATCACTTGATGCTTAGAAAGGAAGGCTAAATACAATCACAATAACCCCATCATTCTCGTGTTATGTGTTCAAACAGTTAATAATCAATAAGCCCATGGTTATATTCCAACCAGTTAATAACCGATAAGCCTGTGCTTACATTCTGATAGATAGTGTCTGGAGGCAGTGGTGATTAGTGTCTGTTTTCTCTTAGGTGATGAGTAACCTGGATATGATCTTCAAGGTTCCCCTGTCTGGAGGGTTTCTTACCCTTCCATTTTCATTCCCATGGGCACTAAGCAGAGAGTTCAGAGTCCACTGGAGAGTTGGCCAAGCATGATCAGCGCAGACAGGCCTGACATGGAGTCCAGGCCCTATGAATTCCTTCTTCATTCCCCCCTCTTTATGCTCTTAACTCATATTATGAGCATCATTCATAGGCATGTATTGCAGACTGGCTCTCCAACTGGCAATTAGGGAGAATCACATCAACCTTCAGGTTACAAAGTTCATAATACATTGTAAAATTCAGGGTCCACAAAGCAGAACTATCAGGGCAACTATAACAGTGGTAAATATAGTTTTCCACCAATCGCTCTTCACCCAAGATAGGACCGAAGTCCAGAAAGGAATGTTCTCATTTGACATTGCTTTTACCTGGTTCTTCATGTCATCTAAAGTAGTCCATACATTGTCAGATAAGTCAGGAATGTATACACAACATTCAACCTTAATTATAGCACAGGTCCCTCCTTGAGCAGCTGTGAGTATGTCCAAAGCCATTTTATTATGAATTACTGCTTTTCTCATTTAGATTTGCTCTTCATTTAAGGCTTGGTTGGCTTCTGTTCTATCTAGGAGGGCGTGTTTGTGAAATTAGTCAAGGCTTCTACTTTAATCATAATATATTTGTTGTCCCTACAGAGGGTACGAAAAAGGCAGCAATATACTCATACCATTGAAACACAGATCTTGTCCACCTAGCATGTAAATAAGGCAGATTTATGGTGGCTCGTTGTAGGTTAGGCTTTTGCTACACTAGCATTTATATCAAATGTAACCCCATGACCTGAGTCTATTGACTGTAGGTCTTATACCAAGAAAGCAAGGAGAGGTTATGATTGACAAGATAGAGGAAAGTCTCTTTGTCATCCCAGAAAAGAGCAGAGTGGTTTAAAATCTGCTTGGCGGAGCAGTGACACCCACCAAGGAAGTCCATCCTTCACAGACAGAGACATAGTGCTACATACCCAGAAGTTGTAGGTGTTGTGGAAGTCTGTGTAGGAATGTGCCCATGAGGTGAAAACGTTGTCCTGAGTTGAGACAGAAGTTAAATTCAAAATCACATTGATGAGGCCAAGCAGCAGGAGTTGATTGTGCGGCTTCATCCTGAAGGGGCTCGTCCGGGATCTTCTTTTCCTTCTTCTTAAGGATGGTCTTAGTCTCTCGAGGGTCAGTGGGGTCCCTCTGTGCAGTCCACTCAGCGCTTTCTGGGTCTGCGTGGTATGCTCTCTTCACCCTCTTATGATGGATCAAGGGAGAATACCTGCAACTTTAACTGCAGCAGGGGTAGTTAGAATAACATAAGGGCCCTTTCACTAAGGGGCTAGCAAATCAAATTTCCAATCTTTGACCCATACTTGGTCACCAAGTGTAAACTCATGAATCTGTTCCCCAAGGGGGAATGGCACCCTTTCTTGTACAAACTTAGTTACCCGATTTATTACCTTACCCAGTTCTATCTGCTGTGAAATCCTATCCCCCCTTACCTGAGGCAAATTTGTTGACACCTGTTTTATTAAGGGAGGAGGCCTCCCATAGACAACTTCCTATGGAGAATAGCCTTGGGACTGTGGGGTCATCCTGAGTCTGAGCAGAGCCGTCGGAAGCAAGTCCATCCAGGAGCGGTCAGTCTCTCTGATCCACTTGGAGAGTCTCTTTAAGTGTCCGGTTGGCTCATTCCACCATCTCAGAACTCTGGGTCTATATGCAGTGTGCAGTTTCCATTTGATGTTTAAAGTTTTGCTTACTTGTTGTACTAAATCAGCGACAAAAGCCGGGCCATTGCCTGATCCAATGCTGGTAGGAAATCCAAATCTGGGAACTATTTCCCTAAGCAGGAACCGGGCTACTTCTGATGTTCTTTCAGTCCAGGTAGGGAAAGCTTTTACCCATCTTGGGAACGTACATACCATGACCAGCAGATAATGGTAGTGTCAGTGAGGTTTCATTTCAGTGAAGTCCACTCCCAGGTGTTCAAGGGGCAGTGTGCCTTTCAGCTGAATACCCAGAGGATTTTGTCTGAATCCCCGAGAGGCAGCATTCACCTGTGAGCAGGAAGCATGGCCTAGGTGGGTCGCTTGGTGTGTCTGGCTTACCAGAGTGTGTGCCAGCTCCTCCAGTACCAATAATTTGCTACTTGGCAATTCCCACCATCCCTTTTCAGTCTTGATGGCCCCTTCTGCTTTGGCTAACCTGACAGCCATTGTTCTTGTTTTATCAGGCTAGTGCCATCAGTATATAGGACCAAATTAGGGTCTGGAACCTTGAGCCCTTCTGTAAAACAAACCCCAGATACCTTATCTCCTCTTCTTAGATCTCTGCCTTCTTCTTCAACACCTGCTTCCATCAATAGCTGGAGTAGTGCTTTTATCCCTTTCCAGCATTTTTCCTCGGAATTCGCAGCCAGCAGCAGGTCATCCCTGTATTGTAGGAGCCAACATCCATACTCTTCCAAATGGGATGAGTCCAGGTCAGAAGCCAAGGCTTCCCCAAAGATGGCTGGGAAGTTTTTAAACCCTTGTGGGGGAGTCCAGATGAGCTGTTGTTTGGTGCTCCCGACTGGATCTTCCCATTCAAAGGCAAAGATGGGCTGTGACGCTGGGGCGAGACGTATGCAGAAGGCATCCTTGAGATCTAGGCAAGTATAAACTTTAGTCCTCGGTGGGAGGAGGCTAAGTAAGGTATAGGGGTTTGGAACAGTGGGGTGGAAAGTCACAGTAGCCTGGTTGACTAGCCTGAGATCTTGTACAGGCCTATAGCCCTGTCCTCCTTCCCTTTTGACTGGCAGGATTGGCGTATTCCAAGCTGACTGGCACTCTACTAGAATGCTTGCTTCTTTGAATCTATTGATGTGAGGCAATATGCCTGTTCAGGCCTCCGTCCATAGCGGGTACTGGCACTCTCTAACCGGCATGGTGCCTGGTTTGAGTTCCATTATCACTGGGGCGTGAGGTTCAGCCAGCCTGGGGGGAGGGGGGGTTGTCTTCCACCCAGACCTCAGGGAATAATTGAGTTAGCTCCCTCGTGCTCTTCTGGCCCACCCGGATGTGCGTTCAGAGGCTCATGCAACCTCCACTCATCTTGGGTTGGTATGGAGAGAGAGGGCAAGTAAGTCATAGAGTCCGTCCAGAAGGTGGGCCGCTCCTCAGGGGAGAAAGTCACTTGTGCTCCTTGTTTGGAGAGCAAGTCTCTTCCCAATATGGGTACTGGGCACTCAGGAATGTAGAGGAATTCATGAATCACTTGGTGCCCCCCCCCCCCGCCATCTAACATTTTCTGGGCTGGCAAAACGATTTAATCATCTCTTCTCCCGATACCCCAGTAACAGTGGGAGTCATTTTGGACAGTGGTGCCACAGGTTTTGTTACTACCGACAGTTCTGCTCCTGTATCCACCATGAAGTCAATGTTTTGGTCCCCCACTTTTAAGGTCACCATGGGCTCTCAGGGACCTGATATCTCTGAGCCCTAGCAGCCCTAATTAATTTCCATGTCAGCAAGCCCCACAACTGCGGGAGCTTCCTCTTCCTTCCTTGCCTTAGGGCATCCATTCTTCCAGTGGCCAAAAGCTCGGCACCGGGCACACTGGTTTGGCTGTAACGGGCCCAGCGCCTCCCTTGGGACTGGCTGAAGGACTGTCCTGTCTCTGGGGCAGATGAGGTTTCCTGGAGGGCCCGAGATAGACTTTCCCAGAGCAGCAGCTAGCACTGTAAGTCTCTTGTCTGTTCTCTTTCGTTCCCTCCACCTCTCTGGGAGAGCGCGGTCTCTGCTTAATTCCAACGTCTCCCTCCCCTTCTTGTCAGTACTCACTAGGAGAGGCGGGTATAGCTTGGGCGGGTCGGTTGGAGCCGGATCCTGGAAGTGTTGGCCAGAGGCTTCTGTCACCGGGATCGGAGCCTGCCCAAACGGCGGCTCTACGAACTCTGGGAGAGCTGGCGGAGGAGCAGCGGCTGCTGCAGAAACTTCACCTGGCCCTGGATTGAGCATTAAGGCGGGCTCCGGTCCTGGTGAAGCACTGGGAGGCTGGCGTGTCATTATCCAGCCTGGGGGAGGGGTCAGGTCATCCCCGTCCAAATCCTGTAGAATTTCCTTTTTTATCATCAGTCAATTGTTGTGCCCTTAATATTTTTCTCTTTCCCTCCTGGATACAGAACCTTGTCCAAGTAGGAGAGTCTCAAGCTAACCCTAGCCATGAGTCAGTAGATGGATGTTGATCCAGGTGCCCTGGCTCTCCTGTGACTACTGTGTAGGTTGCTTCCACTATTTTTAAGTTCACGGTGTTCTCTGGTGGCCTTCCTGCTCCCATAGGGGCCATTCGACCTCACAGAGTATGTGGAGGCAGTCAGGCTTCATCTTCACCCCATAGTCTCCTCCTAATCCCTTCTTTCAAATTTTCACTCCAGTACAGTTGCCTTAGATTCACTTCCCCCCATCTTGCTTACCTTCTCGGACCTTCTTCTACTTTTCCTTTTCGTTCTGTCTATGAAGTTCTCAGTACCCTATGTACTTCTCATATTTTCACTCAATGACACTTAAATTGCCGTTGTACCTCCTTCCTAATTGGGGTGAGAAGAGCCTTACCTGCCAGACCCCAGAGGGAGAAGGGGGATCGGCCTGTCTTCACCTGCCGGTCAGCATAGCTGAACCAGAACATCACATGGTCCAAGACTGTTTCTCCCTTAAAGTCCATTCTGCCTTGGTGGGCTTGATCAGGTGCGAATGAAAACACAGAAGGGTTAAATATCCCATGTCCCAGGCCATCTCCGGAAAAGCCAATTCATACTCACTTCTGTATCCCCCCACTTCTAGCCTAACAATTCCGAGGGGGTCAAAAATTTCACAGCAATCGGGACACCTCCTGGGGGAGGGCAGAATACTAGCATACAAGGACCAGTTTCCTATCCTAAAAATCCCCTGGTGATCGCTTGGTAACAATTTTCCCCGAGACGCCGTGGACACACCTCCTAAATAACCATCACAAATTTCCTTCCTAAACCCTAGCTCTCTCGCCGTCCTGTGTACCAAGCAATCGCCGCCTGCCTATTCCAGGCTCCTGTGGGCTCCCGCTCCTTCTAGTCCCTCCCAGGGGGGTGATCAGGCCCCCTCTTCCACCCTGCCGGGTGGGTTCCTACTCACCTGAGCGCTCAATTCCCCTGCTGCCGTCTACTACCTGCTGACATGAAAGGTCCGGGCGTTGAAAAGCAGAATCCTTCCAGAGGGGCGAGGCGCCTTCCCCCCTCTAGGATATTCAAGCTACAAAGCTTCGGGGTGGCCTCAGTGAGACCTGTCTCCTCAAAGTGAGGAGCTTCCCAGCCAATGCACCAAATGTTATAGCCACGCGTTCCGGGAAACAAACTCACTCAGAAGGACAATGCAGATAGTGGAGTGCAGTTTATTACACCGGCGGGCCCAAGGCAGAGTCTCCTCTTAGCCAAGGGCCCCGACCAGCATTTGTGAAAATCTTTTATACCCCATGTGTACGTGTCCAAACCCACCACCCCAATCCCTTGATGCTTACAAAGGAAGGGTAAATACAATCGCAATAACCCCATCATTCACGTGTTATGTGTTCAAACAGTTAATAATCAATAAGCCCACTGTTACATTCCAACCAGTTAATAACCGATAAGCCTGTGCTTAAATTCTGATAGATAGTGTCCAGAGGCAGTGGTGATTAGTGTCTGTTTTCTCTTAGGTGATGAGTAACCTGGATATGATCTTCAAGGTTCCCCTGTGTGGAGGGGGTCTTATCCTTCCATTGTCGTTCCCACCGGCACTAAGCAGAGAGTTCAGAGTCCACTGGTGAGGTGGCCGAGCATGATCAGCACAGACAGGCCTGAGATGGAGTCCAGGCCCTATGAATTCCTTCTTCACATAAGACACCTCACTAAAATGAGAAAATGCAAATCTGAATTTTATGTTACAGTTTCTCATTTTTATATGAATTAATATTAAATGTGTTAAGTATATTTGTCCCAATTCATTAATGCTAAAATGGTTTAATATATTTATTTAACTCACAGAGTTTTTAAAGAAATTATTGACATGGGAATATAGAACATTTCCCACAGTGCATTTGTCTTTTAAAGATGCTTCCAATAAACTATTTGGTGAAATCATCTTTTTTAATGCTATTTGAACTTTCTACCTTGACTTCTCTCTCAGCTGAATACATATTGGATTGGAAATTGATGACTATCTCAGAAAACACATATTCCTTTTTCTGATGAACAGGTCTTGTGGTCTCTAAGCCGGACCTGATCACGTTTCTGGAGCAAATGAAGGATCCCTGGGAGGTAAGGAGAATGGAGTCAGCCATACACCCAGGTATGTGTCTATGGAAGCAGATAATTCAAGTGAGAGGGACAAGCATTGGGGAGGAAGTCACACTTTGTCGTGTGGTTTGAGAAGATCTGCTTCAGTGGAGATTATTTTGGATTAGCCTAGGTTTATTTCTGTCACTCTCATAGAGCGTCATCTCCTGACCCATTCCTGATTCTTTGTATCTTTTGTGTATTTTTCTCCAGTGATTAATTTTCATATTTGCAGTTAGAACCAAAATACTTGTCTTGGCCTGGAACAACCTGCATGACCTGATAACTCATCCATTTTGGGGAGGTTTTAGAAAATCTGCATATTTCTGAGTAACTATATTAAGCCCTTTTAAAAGTGCTGATTCTGTCCCTAGTCAGAAGTGTGTGGGTGGAACTGTTAAAAAAAGGCCAAACTTCTAGGAATACTGAGGACGGATGTTTTTTGTTTTCTATCATATGATTTCCAGTCCACTGGAAACTACACATATGACCATTGAAATATCATACTCAAATGCTTTCTTCACTGCATAAGACACCTCACTAAAATGAGAAAATGCAAATCTGAATTTTATGTTAAAGTTTCTCCTTTTTTATATGAACTAACATTAAATGTATTAAGTATATTTGTCCCAATTTATTAATGCTAAAATGCTTTAATATATTTATTTAACTCACAGAGTTTTTAAACAAATTATAGACTTGGGAGTTTAGAACATTTCCAACAGTGCTTTTTTTTCTGATTGTTCTTCACTATTAAGCTTATAGATTATATAGAGAAATATTTAAGAAGAAATTTTTCTGTTCCAGTAGTGCTATTTTACAATGTTATGTGAGGTTTGCTGTATAGAAAGAATAAATGATACATATACACATTTCCCTTCTTGATTAGATTTCCTTCCCATCTAGGTCACCACAGAGCATTGAGTAGAGTTCTCTGTGTTTTCACCATAGTTTTCAAGTCTCACTTCTCGTTTTGTTTGTTAACAACTCTTACAATATTAAATCTATCTTATTTGTTATGAAACATCCCAAGACTTTATCGTTCATGCCATCTATTTCTGATTAGCTATAGGTCAAAAGCATTTACTATTTTAGACTCTATTAGAACATGCTCAGATAACAACATGAGTGGTAAGTGGGTTAAATAATTAGCAGGCATTAGCATTTGTGAAAATGTTTTGTTTGTAAATTTGATTACTTAAAGCAAAAATTGCTCATTACACTGCTCAACTGCTCCTCGCTTCATTGTTCCTGTAGGTTTCTATCTTTACTTCTCCTCTGCACCATACTCCTTTGTCATCTCATCTTGTCCAATGTTCTGTGTTTGTGGTCTCTGTTCTGCAGGCTGCAGATCCTCGTTCCTCTTGCTCTGGTGTCTGCCCCGTGGTGGGTGAGGCAGTCCAGAGACTTGTGCCCTTATGCCCTTGAGAGGGGGTTGATTGTTACTATTGTGACCAGGGCCTTCCCAGATCTTGAGGGCTGCTTCACCTTTCCTCTGTGGCTGTCACTGTCTGTGGCGGGGTCTGCTTCCTGACTGGTGGGGTAGAGGCCGCAGATCTGAAATGAGCTCTGCTCTGATCTGTGGTGCTTCTAATCTAGTGGGACTGGAGCACACCCACTGGGAGGGAAGCCACTGAGTATTGCTGCTCTGGGCATGTTCTCCTTTGAGAGTGCTCTGCGTGTCATCTTTCATGTGTTGTGTGAGCTCTCGTGTGACCCTGTGTTGGCATTGATCTTGGCCCCACCTGAACCATGGGTATGCTGGCACTTGACCCTGGTGTCTCTCAGATGCTGTTTTCAACAGGGCACCAGCAGAGATCCACTGAAGTCATATGCCAGGTGTGCATTCATTGTGGAGCTGGACCCGCTGTGGTGCTATGGGGGCAATGTAGACAGTGACCTGGCCCAAATGCCTCCTGTGCATGCCTACAGAGTCTACAGTTGCTAACGCCAGACTGGTCTTGACTGCCAGAGCCTTATTTCCATCCAGATGTTCTGTTGGGGCTGAGTTTACCAAGCCAGTTGTGGGGTGTAACACCATGGTTTGTACAGATGCAAGGAGAGATCTCAGCTCTTCTTGGTTAGTGGCAGGGCCTTGGGGGTCAACTGTGGTTTCAGCACCACCTGTACATTGGGACCACCCACAGGCGTGTGCTCTGAAGGTGCCCCTGCAGCCCATGAGTCTACCCTCCTGGGGAGGAGAAGCAGCTGTGGGGGTCGTGAGATCACCCACCCAGGTGGGAGCCATACCTAGTGCCTGGAGAGGCAGGGACAGGCACAGGGGCAGAGAGGCTGTAAGGAGGTTCTTCGCTTCCGGCATCACTTAACAGTGCCGCTCTGCTTCTCTGGTTGTTCAGGCTTCCTCCACAAGCATCCCATTTGCAGAGCTCCTCCCTCCCTCCCGTCCCCTCAGGATGTCTCCTCACGGACAACCGCAGTCCTCTGCCTGGGTCTGCTCTCTGAACCCCACGTTCCAGCACCCAGCCCTTGTCTGCATCGGAGGACACCCTCTCAGGCTGAGTAGGCAGGGCAGGGGTTTGAACCCTGCATACAGGTCTCACTCTGACCTGCACGCTGGTTGCCGTGTTCTCTTCCCACAGAGAACGAGGCTCCCCTTCTGTCCCAACTGAGCTCCCCTCAGTGAGGGGCTTCCCTGGATGTGGAGACCTCTCCTCTCTCCAGATCCCCCAGGGTTTTGCAGGTCCCATCCTGCTTCTTCTCCTCTTCCCTTTCCTCCATCACTCTTTTGTCCTACCTGGTTCTGCAGGAATCTTTCTTTTCCTTTCAGGTGTCCAAGTTCCTCTGCCCGTGTTCTGCAGGGCTCTCTGAGAATTTTTACACTTCAAGATGTATTCTTGATAATTTTGTGGAGAGAAAAGAACTCCACGTCGTCCGAACCCTGTGCCATCTTGACTCCTATCTCGGTTTTAGGCTTAATCTAGCCAAGTGTATGCTAATTTTATGTAAATTGTAAACTATATTCCCCAAGAATAGTAAGTAGAATAACATTATTTGGCATTTTTCAGCTGTGTCTTCTCACGACACCCAGGGTTTGAGGACCGAAAAGCCAGGCTTAGAAGATTTACTCCCAACAGCAAAGCTAGGAATATATGAAAGATTTCACCTTGCACATTTACATTTAACCAAAGACTGGAAATCTATGAGGGCATATAAAGAGCGGAGAGTATGTTATGATGGACACAACCAAGTTGATACAGTTTCCCATAAACTAAACATTACCGCCAAAGGAAATCAAGGATGTGAATCAAATAAGGAAAAACCAATTTCAGATGACCAATTTCAGTCATCAGCATCTGCAGAGAAGTGTATATTTGTCAGCAAAGATCCACATCATCTATTGAAACATACATGTTCTCTGAAGGGAAATGTGGAAAATCTGGAAAGTCATCTAGTCTCTACTGTAAATACTCATTCAAACCTATACTCGGAGCATAGCTGTCTATTAAATATACATTCAAACATGTCTGGAAACCAGAAGCTTAAACATGAGGGGGAAAATTCCCAATACAATCAATTTGAGGGATCCTTTAACAAGGGTTTATTGTTCTTCAACCAACAACTATTTTCTCCCTGTTCCAACATCTGTAATGCTGATAATAATGAGAGAGACCTTATTCAACCATCATTGCTCAAAACATATGGAGGTATAATTAGTGTGGAACAACTTTCCAGGTGTAACAAAATGAGGAATGCCTTAAGCAGGAGCTCTACCGCCAATAATTACAAGAGTATACACGATGGAATGAGAAGCTCTTCATGCAATGAAGCTGGGCATAATGTTAACCAAGTCTCATATCTCGTGAAACAACAGGGACATCAATTTTCAGACAACAATTTTGAACATAATAAGTGTAGGAATATATTTTATCAAAGCTCAAATCTTACTATTAATACTTATAAGAGTATGGATATTGGAGAGAAGACTTATACTTGTTATGATTATGGTAAAATTTTTAACCAGTCTTCAAAACTTATTCAACAGCAGAATATTCAGACTAAGCGGAAACATTGCAAGTGTAATACATGTGGAAAAGTCTTTAGTAACTCACCAAATCTAAGTAGACATAGGAAAATTCATACAGGAAGGAAACCTTTCAAATGTACAGCATGTGGCAAAGCCTTTAACCAGAGTTCACATTTAACTGAACATCAGCGAATCCATGCTGGGGAGAAACCACACAAATGTACAGAATGTGGCAAAGCCTTTATCCATTATTCGCTTCTTACTCGACATCAACGAACCCATACTGGGGAGAGACCTTATAAATGTACAGCGTGTGGCAAGGCTTTTAAGGAGATTTCAGCTTTAATTCGACATCATCGAATCCATACTGGGGAGAGACCTTATAAATGTACAGCATGTGGCAAGACTTTTAAGCAAAGTTCAGCTTTAACTCAACATCAGCGAATCCATACTGGGGAGAGACCTTATAAATGTACAGCATGTGGCAAGGCTTTTAAGCAAAGTTCAGCTTTAACTCAACATCAGCGAATCCATACTGGGGAGAGACCTTATAAATGTACAGACTGTGGCAAAGCCTTTGTCCATTATTCACTTCTTACTCAACATCAACGAATCCATACTGGGGAGAGACCTTATAAATGTACAGCATGTGGCAAAGCTTTTTCCCGGAATTCAGGTCTTTCTCGACATCAGAGAGTTCATTTTGCAGAGAAATGTAAGGGATGTGGCAAAGGATTTCATCACAGCCATCACCTCACTCACAATCAGAGAATTCATAGTGCAGAGAAACCCTAGGAATGAATCAGTTTTAACAAATTTGGTCCTAAATATCCAATTTTGAAAAAATGAGTGTTGCCTTTGGAAAGATACATGAATTAAATAAAAAATGTAGAAAACTGCTTAATCAAACATCAAACATAACTCAATATCAGAGAATTCATACTAGAAAGCATGTCATTATTACCATTTTTGTTGAAATACTCGAAGCAGAAACACTGTAGCAAGTATTTCATAAGTAAAACACATACAAAATTGATACTTTAGTATGGATCACAAGATGAAGGGGTGTATATTTGCAGAGGTATAATTATTATTCATGTATCCTTGTTTATGTTAACATTATTTGAGATTATTAAGGAACCAAAACGAATGTAATTCAACTCTCAAATTACTACATGCTGTGATTTGTTTCTACTGTATATATGAACTTATGTTTTTGATGGTTGGTGCCCAATGGTAAGAGAAGCCCTTCTATATTAAGTGGGAATCATTTACATTTATTCTCCAATTTATAAGATTAAGAACACAGTCATCTTATATACACACTAAACCTCTGAATGGAGGTATCTGTCACTGATGTCAAACACCTCTGTGGTCACCATGATGTAAGTGTTCAGGGAATAATTCAAAGTAAGACAGAAAATTGCTCTAAGTTTTCAATAATTATGTCACTTGCGTTTTAAGCATCAAAGAAGGATAGTTCATGAATATCTAAGGTATTTTTGTAACAGCAACATAGAGAAATCATGCATATTATCTGGCAGGCTTGAAGTAAGAACACCTTCTATTCTATCTGATATAAGTATAGAAAACTCTTTCTGGAAAAGTCATATTAATATAATTAATGTCCATCCATGTTAACTAAATTAGCCTCCATTTTGTAAACCATATAAATCACATTCTCAGATCATTTCATCAGAGAAACAGGAAAGTTTTTAGAAGCTTGTAATGTGTATTTTAATCAAGGATCAAGCAACAATTGTAAAAGGTTTTATTCCATCTGTGTAAAATTAATGTATCTTAATTAATAAAAGTGAATGGTTTTTCAGTGTTACAATTGATGTGGAATGAATGAATGGTTAAGGCACCACCAGCATTAACCTCTCCCACCTATTTAAGGTTGAAGGAAAGGTAACATAATGATAAACTCTTTGTAGCACAGGGGGATGGCATCTCTAGAAATTAGTTCCTTACTGCCGTTAAACCTCTCATAACTTCATATATTTCCCACCATTTCTATGTTGTATCTCCTCTGCGATTTTTATCTACTTGGACATCGTGGTGGTTCTAAGAAGAAGGATCATACAGAGCACTGTTGAGAGCTCCCCTGAGGTGCTCCATGCTGTTGCTGCCTCAGCGTCTGTCTGGGGAGCAGGCAGCCTTCAGGTCCTTGAACTCACACCAGCCAGTCCTGTGAGCACCTGCACTAGATGACCCCTTCCTTGAGACCAGCAGTCGTGCTGAACCCCAGGGTCTACTCCACAGGCCCCGCTTCATTGACAACCTCATAGCTGACCAAAATCTTGCTCGTCTTTGTTTGAATGGACCCCTCCACACTCAGCCTGTGGGGCCCACAGCACTTCACCCAGGGTCAGGTCTGAACCCCAAGTACTGGAATTTTCTCTGCCTTTTTCTAGCCTTGACCTTCCTCAGGGGCCCTCAAGGCTTGCTGTGAGTTCTCTGAGGACCTAGAGTCATAAACTCACCTGCTGCAATTGTCCTTTGTTCTTCTGTTAGCTAAAACTTTTCAGGGGCTCATTTAAGCAAATGTAAGTTTAACAAAGTCACAAAAATTATAATCAAAAGCCATGAGGGGAAAATTCTGAACCAAGATTTATAAAATCTTACCCTGTATAATTCTTAGCACATGTGTCTTGTAAGGCTTAAAGGAACTGTTTTCTCATGGCTTTGGCATACTTTGAATGCAATATATAAATATCCGAAGATATATACATAATATGATTTATATAACACACATTGAATACAAGATATAGATATCTGAAGCTATACATGTTAGCAGTTAGAAAACCAAGAAGGAATATGTGAGTGTATGTGTATTCTTACACATTCAACTTAAAGAATTTAGAAATGCTAGATCAAAACTGGTCATTTCAGAATTGCAGATGATTTACTAAAAACTGTAAAACTTGTCAATTTGTTGATTAATCTGTTTTGTCTACTTTTCATGGAATTCATTTCCTTAAATATCAGGATGTTATGTTTTTTAAGGAACTTCCACACGGTCCTCCCATGTGACTGCACCAGCTTACACTCCCTCCAGCTATGTAGGAGGTTCCCTGATCTCCAAGCCCCTTCAGCGTTTATGATATTCTTAGTGGGCTTTTTGCTCATTGTTATTCTGACTGGCATGCGGTGACACATCCCTGTAGCTTTCTTCTGCATTTCTTATTATTTAGCGGTGGTGAGCATCTTTCTTTTCCCTCTTGCCCATCGAAAAGAGCAAGCAGCCCCGGCCAGCCTCAGCAGCTGTAGGGCACAGGCTTAGTCTACCCACAGCATGTGGAGTGTTCCTGGACCAAGGGTGAAGCCTTTGTCCCCTGCAGTGCCAGAAGGATTCTCCACCACCGGGTGCTGAGTCTATTCAGCTTTTTTTTCCTTTTGAGACTATATATATATATATATATATATATATATATATATATAATTGCTTTACAATATTGTGCTAGTTTGTGCTGTATGACATCGTCGATCAGCCGTAAGTATACATAAATCTTCTCCCCCTTGGCCTTCCCTCCCGTGGTCTCCGTTTCACCCCTCTGCTCAGCACAGAGCAGCAAGCTGAGCTTCCTGCGGTAAACAGCAGCTTCCCACCAACTACCTATTTTCACCATCAGTTCAGTTAGTTGCTCAGTCTTGTCTGACTCTTTGCGACCCCATGGAGTGCAGCACGCCAGGTCTCCCTGTCCATCTCCAACTCCTGGACCTTGCTCAAACTCATGTCCATTGAGTCAGTGATGCCATCCAACCACCTCATCCTCTGTCGTCCCCTTCCCCCCCTTTCTATCATTCCCAGAGTCAGGGTCTCTTCAAATGAGTCAGTTCTTCACATCAGATGGCCAAAGTATTGAAGTTTCAGCTTCAACATCAGTCCTTCCAATGAATATCAGGACTGATTTCCTTTAGGATGGACTGGTTGGATCTCCTTGCAGTCCAAGGCACTCTCAAGAGTCTTCTCCAACGTTTTACCCATGTTGGTGTATATATGTCAATGGTACCCTTTCAACTGGTCCTCCTCTTCTTCTCCTGCTGTGTCCACGTCTGATCTCGATATTTGTTCAAATATTGTGTTTTTAAATGTATGGAATTTTAAAAATGGTATTGATTAACTTATTTACTGAGCAGGAATATAGGCGCAGAGGTAGTTATTAAGCTTTTGCATGTTAAGCTTTCAAAGTATAAAATACATTGACAATCATTCCGTGCATTTTACTGTTGTAGCCACCCATTCTGGGAAACAACCTGACTCAGAAGGACAATGCAGATAGTGGAGTGCACTTTATTACACCGGCGGGGCCACAGCAGAGTCTCCTCTTAGCCAAGGACACCGAACAGTTTTTGTGAAAATTTTATATACCCTAAGTGTACTTGCTCAAACCCACCTCCCCAAATTCCTTGAAATTCGTCTGGAAAAGGTAAAAGAGAGACACGATCAAAATTAACCCATGATTCATGTGTCACAAGACTAAATAAACAGTGGATATTTATCAATAAGCCTGTGGTCGTATCCCAATAAACAGAATGGAATGGACCACTTTGTTCAGTTACAGAGATAATTAACATATTCTTTTAGGCAACAGAGTCCAAGTACAAGTCCTGAGGCTCTTTTATGGGGGGGGCGGGGTGGATCTGATTTTCCATTGGTATGCCACTTCTACAGACACCGGGGCGCAAAGCTCAGAGTCCACTGGGAGGGTGACCGTGCGTGTAGCCTAATGCTCACAGCCTGGCCTAAGACGGAGTCCAGCTCTGTCTGTTTCCTCCTTCATTACTAAGTGAAAGAAGCCCATTTGAAAATGCTATAAAAAGTAGGATTTTTACAATATGACTTTTTGGTGTAGGTAAATGTTCATATATGCTCAGTCGTGTCTGAGTATTTGTGATCCCAGGGGCTGTAGCCTGCCAGGCTCACCTCTGTCCATAGATTTCCCAGGAAGGTATACTGGAGTGGGTTGCCTTCTCTTCCCCCAGGGGATCTTCTTGACCCAAGGATCCAACCCGCATTACCTGGATGTCCTGCATCTGCAGGCAGATTCCTTACCACTCAGTCACCTGGGAATCTAGTAAGAAATATAGAAGAGATTAAAAGGGTCCATGGTTACTGTGGGTTTCAATGGAGGGACTATGAATATCCTAAGTCTAGAGAACTTTTAGGACCATGAAATAATTTGTGTTAAACTGTCATGATGGACACATGTTATTAAACATTTATCTAGAGGTGTGGAGTGCACATTCCTAAAAGAGGAACACAAGGGTAAACTAGAGTGTTTATCTATTTACTGGCCATGCAAATTCATCAGTGGTAACTATGAGGCTGCCAGGGCTGACACCATGACAGGCGGCCCGGACCTAAGTTTCGGTTTCCCCTGAAATGGTAAGGTTCCCTACCCCCATCAGGCCGCCTAGAGCCAGCCAATCAACATGCGCCCAGTAAGAAGAAAGGAATCTATCAAGGGAAAGCTGAAAAGCCCGCGAACGCCCAAGTTTGAAAAAAGGCCTGCACAAGTTTGGACCAATAAAATTGCTTTGCAAACATGTAACCAATCCGCTTAAGTCAGCTACCAACTACTTACGCCCACCCTATAAATTTGTGTAACAGCTCGGGCTCAGGGCTCTCTGATCCCGCACCACTGCCTTGCATGCGGCAGGAGCCCTCACTCGAGTCAGCAATAAACTTC